AACATGTAACATTGTTAACTATGTAATTGGTGACAAGCAAGCGCCACAAATGTCATCGCTCTTAAGGTTTTGGAGATATCCTAACTTCTAAGTTTATCAAAGAAAATGACAGGGTTGCTCTCAATGTCTGTATCCTCAGTGAACAGCCGCAGAATTTAATTGAATACTACTTAACGAAACACTAAAAGAATCACACAGTATATAACAAGAAAATTCCATAACATAAGCATCTTTCACGAATTGGGGTGATGAGCAGATGAAGAAACTGGAAACATAAAACTTACTTACCAATAACAAAGAGTTTCGTCTTTGGCACAGAGGAAGACGATGACGAAGAAGAAGAAGAATCCGAAGAGATACAGCTAGAAATCATTAACCCGCCCATATCACGGCGTCGGCGAGTCGAAATTACGACGGTTCCGACATTGATTCGGCCGCAAGAGACGCTACAGACGGGCGAGAAGTTAGATCGGAAGACGCGATCTCCGGAACACGACGGAACGACAACTATCCCTAAGCTCACTGCCATTGTCATCTTCTCCTTCTTCGCCGGACCCTATCCCCTCAACTTACTACACAAAACTTTGATTTATTTAGGGTAATTTTGGTACTTCACATATACGTTTTTTTTTTTGTAAATTGGACCAATATAATTAACACAAATAATGTAGGTAGATTCTGAAAAGAATAAGTAATCTTTTTTTTTTTTTTGTCATCTGCTACATTATCATTGATTCGTCAACATAGGTAAAGCCTAATTTTTGATTTGAAATTATTTTCTATCACAAACTGTGATTCATAAGTAAAATTATTAATCGTAAGGAAAAATATATTTTGAAGGCTATATTATGCATTTTTTGACATGGCAAATGTTATTTTTAAAAATGTTAATTTTAGTTTAGACTAGTAAAACCATGGTAGGAGTTGACAAGTGACTCCATTGTATAATCTAAGAAGGTAGATCAAAATTTTACAATTCATTACACAGTATGAAGACAGAATCAAAACAGCTACCATGTACGAAAGGTGCGAGGTTTTGATTGAGCTTTGGGGTAGTCTGGTCTGGGTTTACCTCTGGAGATATCTGATCTGCTTTTAGCTTCTTCTACGAATATAACCCTTCCATCCAAAAACTGTATAAACACCAAATCATAATTTGCTATTAACCAATATCTTGTTATCAATCACCAGTAAAACGATTTGAAGTATGAAGTTAAGTCTGTGATATTAAGCTGTATACCTTTCCGTGCATCCCTTCAATAGCTTTCATAGCCTCCTCCTCTGTGTCATACCGTAGGAAGGCAAAACCTTTTGGTCTATTAGCTACCTTATCCATCACCAAGTTCACTACACGAGGGGACGCATGCAAGAACATGAGTTACACACTTGTAGAATGTGGACAGAAGTAGAACAAAAGTGAGCTTTATGCTTACTGTGTACAAGCTTGCCAAACTGTTCAAATGTATCCCGTAAGGTATCTTCAGTTGTCCGGAATGAAAGCCCTGTGCAAAAACAACAAAATCAAGTCCATATTGTTTCGAGTTCAAATCTCATGTGGTGAAAGCAGAGAGGTGAAAAGTGGATAAAACCATAAAAGAGCATTAACACTGTCTAAAGCTCTAATTCACAACGATTTAGCTATAATACTGAGTGATACCACAAGGTCCAATAACGAATGAAAGCAAACACAATTAACACAATAAAGATATCAATCTCCCCAGATCATCAGAAGTTCAAAACTTCACACCCATTTATTCTACTTCCACACCAACCAAAATCATTCCCTGTCTTTACAACAAATCTGACAATATCTTAGGTACAAACACTGTAAACATATAAAAAGTAACTCTAATAGTCTCCGATTTCAGACCTATTCCTGAAAGAAACCAAACAGAGACATTTCCTCAAGGAGTCAGGCTATACCACAACAAACTGAAAGGTTCTACACCCTGGAAAAGTTTGTCATACCTTTCACTCTACATTTTTAAACACCCAACAAAGGATTTTAACATGTAAAATTGTTAACTATGTAATTGGTGACAAGCAAGCGCCACAAATGTCATCGCTCTTAAGATTTTGGAGATATCCTAACTTCTAAGTTTATCAAAGAAAATGACAGGGTTGCTCTCAATGTCTGTATCCTCAGTGAACAGCCGCAGAATTTAATTGAATACTACTTAACGAAACACTAAAAGAATCACAGAGTATA